ATTACGTAACCTAAAAAACATATCAGGCGAACTTTTTATCAGCTGAGTCAAGCTTTTGTTTAGTCGGGTCAGAACTTTGCTACAACAATCTCAAAAAGGTTGTCAAGATCTTTAGTCTCTAAATATACAAGTGATAGTAGATTCATCAAAACATTGGATTAATACTCACCGCTGAGATCAAGCTGTTTCTTTGAGGTGCAAACGCAATGAAGTGTCAAGATCCTTCAGGTAGGAATGGTGGTTGGAGCATGAAAGGGGTATGCTTATCTTGCTCAGATTCTTAACCCAAAAAGAATAATCTCAACAAGGTGCTTTGACAAATGAGATGGGTTCGACTTGGGTCTCTCATGTCCATGAAATGAGTTTCACGCACACCTTATATAATGTATGAATTGATAAGGAAGAGGTTGTTCCTATATCGCAAGCTGAGAGGGACGATGGTTGGAGTTCTTTTAGAGAGAAATGATATCTTGAGGTGCTGCAAATTCAAAACCCCACGTTGGCTGTACATTGATATATATTATATTAAAGTGGCCAGATCATGGCCTTGTGATTTGACTTAAGCAAAACCAAATTCAATTGACTGACTTCTCAAGATTGGTGAGTAATTGGGGTTGAAAGCTTTGCTGGTGTCTAGTTGAAGTTCAGCTCCCAGGATGTCCTATGTTTCAAATATAATAGTATAAAATTATATATGACTTCCAAGAGCAAGGGTCTCATGACCTCATTATCAGTTTCACAAAGGTTCGTACAATTCAATGGGTTTCCAAGCCACTCTAACATCGGTGGACTATTTTTAATCAAGACCAGGATTTGGAAGTAGGCCCAAAATCTCCGGATGTTTTCATATACATGACGAGATTCATACAAAGAAAGCAATCAAAGAGAGTGATATCAATTTGAAACATTCCTAAAGAGGAGAAAATCAAGTAATCAATTTGTAGCATGTACTTGGATGGTAAAGGTGGAAGAGATTTCAATCAATGTATAATAATTCAAATAACCTTGATGACCTCCCATGTGTCGGCCCCCCTCAGCGAAGGTTTTCCTGCTTGGTGCTTTGCTTTCCATCGCTTCCTTCAAATTCTCCAAAAGTCCCGTTCTCTTCTTTGGTATTGGTAGCTTCGTTTTACTTTAGCTCTTCCCTACCGTTTTGGCCCATACCATACTTCAATTCCGAGTCGGATTTCACTGGTTGATCTTTTTTTAGTAGGATATTTTTCTCTTTTTGTTTTAATGGGTTTGCTGTTTCTCTTTTCAGTTTCAATGAGTTTAAGTGTGATATTAGGACTAACTTTATCATTAGAAATCTGGAAGTGATAATTCATAGTCAAGTTTATTATCTGTTATCATATGCATTCAATGAAGCCATTTCATAAACAAGTTGAATATGTAATAACAATACTTAAGTGTTTGTTTATTAACAAAAAAGAGGGTTAGTACTTTGGTGCATAGTTGTGATCTCATAAGACAAATTGGAAATTGTTAGCTTTTCCACATTTATAGGGGAAAAAAATTGTATTGCGGATTGTTTGGCAAATTGAAGCTAAAATCTAGACTTGGGAATTTAGTTCTTTGATGAGGCTCCTGATGGGTTAGCTCTCTGTTGGTGGATGTTTTTCCCCAATATTTGAAAAGATATTATTTTTATTTAAAATAATTTATTTTATATAGAAGCGATAATTCAAATATTTCTACATTAACCTTATTTACGTAGAAGGGAATTCAAACTTAAATGCAAAGAAGTGGGCTCACTGCTTTGACCAACTAACCTAACCCATCTGCCCTTTATGTTTTCAATGTGAAGTGCTCAGAAAATTGGAGGAATCAGTTTTTGAATGTGGTTGGGCCGGAACTAGCTTTTACATGTAAGGTGTGTAAATTGGAAACTACATGCCTAATTCTATAACAACTGTCGCAAAAAAAAACAAGAAGAAAACCCTCTAAAATGAAGGGTTGAAGTTCGCCCAGAGAAAAACAAGTGACTGTGTATAAGTTTATGCCTGATACTTTAATTGAGGTCCTGCCAGCCAAGCTACATTGGCGGACAACAGAAGGAAAAATTAAAGGACCAAAATGTGTACATGTGTGCAGGTGTACACACGGTACCCTGCGCTGGATGAGACATTAAATGTTGTCTTTTTCTTTTGGAACTGACCTCATTAATATACATTATTATTTACTTACCAAAAACAAAATAAGGAAATTTCATATTATTATGTAAATCCAACAGTGAATTAATTCTTGAGTGCACTGAATCTACTGTGGTTTCAACTAATACAACTAATGTTGTGTTAACAACATGACAAAGAAGCCAAGGGGTGTAGCTTAATGGAAAATGACTTTGATTTGCAGACTAGTGGTGTTATGTTTGAACTCCCATGATACATCGATAGTGTATGTTTGAGAAACCCCTATTCATCTTATAGTTTAATCTATCGCTTGTATTTAAAAAAAAAAGACAGAAAGAAAAAAAGGAAATTTCATGTTATTATGTAAATCCAACGGTGAATTAAGTTTTCACCTAATACAAGTTACAACTAATTATTTGTTAGCAACATGACAAAGAGATTAATGTTTGAGAGAGAGAGAGAGCTCTAGTATATAAAGATGGCACCACGTTCTGTTCTTCAGACTATATTGAAAGGGTTAAGAGAAGACAAAAATGATGAAGGCTGTGAGTTTTCTACTTCATTTTGCCTTCCTCTTCACCTTCACGCAAGGCAGATCAATCATTCCACAGCCCCAACCTCTCAGATCCTTCAAGCTCAGCAATAACCAGGTATGATCAATTCATTTGGAAGCAATTCTTGATAAATAGATTTATATACAGGGACTTGAATTGTAGTATATTGTACTGCATGTAGAAAAACAAAAAAGAGAACCAGAAATTTCTGCCCTGGGATTTTGCTGAAAAGGCAAGATCCTTTGAAAGATCAAGTACCTAGGTGAAAAAAAATGAAAAGAAAAAGAAAACCCATCATAGGTATATGGTTTACTTTGATGAAAAGTTCAGTACAGATTATATTTTGACTTACCAATGTATGCAAATAACTGAACAAAATAATAGAAGAGAAACAAATCAGAGAATTTTTAAGACATTTTTTTTTTTTGCGTTTTTAAAATTGATTCGAATCATTGATTTCTTTGCAAGTAGTGAATGTTATTGAACCAGGGAAAGAGGGCATTATATTGATTCTATATGAGAAATTAACTGTTATGGCCTCTCACAGTATGCAGGGAGCTGTTCTTACACAGTATCAATAAAGACTAGCTGTTCTTCACCGAGATACACACGAGATCAGATCAGTATTGCATTTGGTGATGCTTATGGCAATCAGGTACTTCAATTAGACATTGAAAAATTCATGTTTGGATATGTATTGTTCAGATTAACAGTCTAACAACGTAACATGGACAATGTATAATTCTACGTGTCAGCGTGATCACACTAGTGCAGCAATTACAACTAATATAACCCACAAAAGAAGATTATATATATTTCTGCATAATGGGTAATTAGTCATTTATCAATGTTATTTATTTCTCGGATGATGATCAGGTGTATGCACCCAGAATAGACAATCCATCTTCAAGGGCATTCGAGAGTTGCTCCACGGATACATTTCAGATTTCGGGGCCATGTGCGTACCAGATCTGTTATGTGTATCTCTATAGGAATGGATACGATGGGTGGAAAACACAGACAGTGACAATCTATGGTCATTACACCAAATCTGTCACATTTTATTACAACTCTTTTATTCCCAATGGTATTTGGTATGGGTTTAATCATTGTAATGGTGGTGCTTCAGCAGCATTATCCACTTCAAGCATGTAGCCAGATGAGATAGAAGTGCAGCAGTACTCTTTGTTTTCAGGTCATTATTGGCTCTGGTTTGTAATGGTTTTGGTGCTTTGGCATTATCTGTTTGCCATCAGATTTTGCTTGTTATGGTTATTTGGGGTATGGAGAAAACAACCCAATTAATAAACTCTTTATTTATTAATTTTTGTTTTTTGATACAAGTGGTATTGGACGAGAGAAGATTCGAACACATGACCTCGGGTGCGGTGCTTCTGAATTAAAGCGATTTACCCTCTTTCTCAGTTCAATAATAATTGGGCCTAACATTAGCGAAATCGGCCATGGGCTAAAAATATAGCCTAAGCCTGCCGCAGTATTGAAAGCTTGGAGTGGGGAAGAATATGGAACCCAATCACCGCCTATAGTGGAAACATGTTGATGATAATATGTTTGACATTCAAAGAAGGAGGCCTCCTATGCCGGTAAGTTGCACCCCACATGTGACATATCATATGTCGTCTATGGAGGAGGTGACCCCAGAGGAGAACATTTCCTTTATACACGTGGCTATGCAAATTAATCTTCTGTGTGTCTTCTATCTAGCTCACTTTTATTCTCAGAGCAACTCCAACGGTAAGCTGGGCCAGGGGCTGGTGGGGAAAGAAGAAAAATGAAGTTCCAGCGGTTAGCCCAGGCCTGGGCAGGGAGTGGGTCCCAGCAAGTCGGGCTGGCCCAAAGGCCAATTCAGCCCGAGGTCCAAAACGAGGGTTACTGACGTCAGCAACAAATTTAAAAAAAAAAAAAAAAAAAATTCAGATTTTTTATAAATAAATACTTGGTCATATTTTTCACTTCCCACACCAAAAATCTTTTAAATTTTTTTTGTCCAAATTAATTATTGAGGTAAAAAAATTTGTGAAAAAAACCAAAAAATGAATAGTAATTGCCCTTAGCCATGGCAACGAGTGGAAACACAAAATACTATTTCCAAGGGCAACCACTATTCACGTGAATAGTGCTGCCCTAACTCCCCCCTTGCCATGGTTAAGGACAAATGAGTGGAGTTGCTCTTAAAGTCCTAGCTTTTGGGATACAAATAGCCGAGAACTGAAATAGAGCTGGGCAACTTAACCCGAAAACTGGCTAAACCGGCCGAACCGAAGTTTCGGCCGGTTTGGTTTGTTTTTTTATTCTACATATTTGAATTTTCGGTTTGCACTGCACCTCTCTTATCCTCGCGCTACCCTTCTCACATGATTTTGAGTTTGAAATATCCATTCCTCGCAGTGACCATTACGTCCTTAAAAAATATCTCTAAATTCGCAACTAGGAGGGTACTTTCGTCCACTCATTAACGTCGCGCTCCCTATATCTTCTCCACTACCCTCGAATCCCAAGTCCACTCTTCCCCTCCTCTCGAACCCTAGATCCAGGGTTTATATCCATTCACTCCATTCTTCTCTCCCAAAGATTTTCAATTTTCAATTTTTGTTATTATTGTTTTTGAATTTTCTCAGAGGCCTCGACACTCGTAGATCATTACTCCGAATCTCTCTTGCTCAGTGGAAGCTCAAAGGTATGCAATTTAAACCGTATCAAAGCAGTTCAACTAGTTCTTAAAGCTTCTGATTCACAATTCTTAGAAACACCCTAACGCTCGAGCTCAAATTTTGTTGTGGTTCTATAGCATGGGTGAAATCAGAGACAACGATGGTTACGAAGAGGAGCTGGTCGATTATGAAGAGGAAGACCAAAATGCCCCCAACTCCGTCTCCGCCAAGCCCTCTGGTGATACCGTTAAAAAGTTAGTATCTTGAACTTTTTCTTAGTTTCGCATCTTCCATTTTACTATCACTAGTCAGTTGGGCTGTTTGCTTATGTACGTATAGATAAACAAAGTACTTTTTAATGTTGATTTTGTTTTCTCTTGTTTTTGGTTGGTTTGTGGTTCGTTTGTGGTTCTGCTATTTGTACTGTTTTGTACTTTGCTTGGTCACTGTGAAAACTGAGGAAAAAAGTGGAGAAAGTAATTGTGGATTTGATTTGTTCGCTTCTTCAGAATGTTTTCATTTTTGGAATATAAGTTTACCAAAAAAACAAGAGATTTTGTCAAATTTGACTTAGATGACTTTATGGACAGAGACAGACCCAAATTTCTTTTAATAAAATAGAACCTAACAAATTCAGTTTCGTGCTTCTACAATGCTTAAGTTTCTAAAAGATATGCTCGACCAAATAAGGTTGAACATTGTGATAAAACCTCACTGTAGTTTTTATTAAGTCCATGTTCTCACAAAAGAAACAGTTAAGCTCCTCTTGGCATTGCTGTGGTTATTGTGCCTAAAACTCTGGGGTTAAGTATTGTGATTTGATGGAATTGCATTTTTCATATTTTCTTATTGGAGGGTAATGCTTTAATGTGTATATTGCCTCTGCCTCTGTATGTTGTGATTCAACTACATCAAATTTGTTATGAGGTTTTGCTGATACATCTTGCTAATCTTCTACGCATTTCATATTTTCAGATTACATGAGGTTTTATTTGTTATGGATCCCTCAAATTTATTTATTTTTTCTAAACTCCTATGTCATATGGTGCAGGGGCTATGTTGGCATCCACAGTTCAGGATTCAGGGACTTCCTGTTGAAACCAGAGCTTCTTCGAGCGATTGTGGATTCTGGGTTCGAACATCCTTCAGAAGGCAAAGTTCCTCTCACTGTTATAATTATATATCTGTGTCAAGAGTCTGCTAGACTTCTGATTCTGTGGTCGGAAGAATTATGTGGCGTTGCATTTCATTTCTGCATTCCTGGTTACAAGTAGATGAATGAGTTCTTTTCATATATTTTTAGCCGGTGTAGTATTTCTATGCCATGCCACTTGGGTATACTTAATAAACTCTGCATCACTAGTAACATCTTGTGAACTTAGCTCTTTGGTCAAAATAGCTTTGATATATCAATTCTTTGGATGGGTCTCTGAATTCTGAATTTCAATGCAGTACGTGTCTAGTATCTATAAGTTGTCCATCTTTAAAGTTCTCGAGTGCATGATTTCATTGGTCCGTTGTTTCATATCAGTTGGATGTACCACATGAATTACTAACAGTAGTGTGTAATCTACATCTATAATGAATTATAGATGGTAAACGTTCTCTCATCAATTGATTTCTTTTACATGGAATATGAGAATGGCAAGATTGTCCTTAATTGTTTAATCATCTTTCGTGGTTGACTGTTTCTGAGTTTTCTATATTTTCTCTGTCCAGGTAATCACTAATTCCATATTCATGATTTCGGCAAGAAAACTGGTTTGGTAAACCTTTCCATTAAAAGGATCTGGAAGGTCATTTATACTTACTGAGGTTTCGTCCGGTACAATTTTGTTTGCTTCATCAGTTCAACATGAGTGCATCCCTCAAGCTATCTTAGGAATGGATGTTATCTGTCAAGCAAAATCTGGGATGGGAAAGACCGCCGTCTTTGTTCTATCTACCCTTCAGCAAATAGATCCAGTTGCTGGTCAGGTTGCTGCTCTTATTCTTTGCCACACGAGAGAACTGGCTTACCAGGTATGCTCAATGAATTCATTATCAGCGTAGAGAACTCCGATTTCGATGCACATATGATGCACATACGCATATATTGGATATGAAGCTGTTGCTGTTTGGCCATACGATTCTATGTTGAGGTTCTGTTTAATGAAGCTACTGTTATTATTTTTTGCTACAGATTTGTCATGAATTTGAGAGATTCAGTACCTATTTGCCAGACCTGAAGGTTGCAGTCTTCTATGGAGGTGTCAGTATCAAGGTTCACAAAGACTTGCTGAAAAATGAATGTCCTCACATTGTTGTTGGAACACCAGGGAGAATATTAGCTTTGGCAAGAGATAAAGAGCTTGGACTAAAGAATGTCAGACATTTTATTCTTGATGAATGTGATAAGATGCTCGAGTCACTTGGTAATTTTTTAAGATTAATCTTGTTAAAGGGGACTTTACCAGTTTTTTTCTGTAATGAAACTTATGTTAAGTTTTATTTAATTTTCCGGTTCTTCCAACTTTTTCAGATATGAGGAGAGATGTGCAGGAGATCTTTAAGTTGACTCCTCATGACAAGCAAGTGATGATGTTTTCAGCAACACTAAGCAAAGAAATCCGCCCTGTTTGCAAGAAGTTTATGCAAGATGTAATATTTGCTTAAACCTTAACATGAACTTACAATAATCATCTACTTATGATTGTAGATTGCTTAAACCCTAATTTTATTTGTTTTTGAAATTTGTATCGATATTCATAAAATTTGATTACGGTGATTTTTGGTCTGGGTTGTTCAATTTTTGTGTGTGCTTATTATGAAGTATTGGAGGTGCAAGATTTGTGTTTTAATTCAATTTGTGATCATATTTGTTTGTTGCAGCCCATGGAAATTTATGTAGATGATGAGGCCAAATTGACACTTCATGGTCTTGTACAGGTATTTCTGCAATGTGATTGATGAGCTTTTGTGTTGTTGGTTAACTGTGCCTTGCTTGCTCACCCTCATGCTCTCTCTCTCTCTCTCCCTCTCTCTCTCCGCAGCACTACATCAAATTGAGCGAACCTGAGAAAAACCGCAAGTTGACTGACCTTCTTGATGCATTGGATTTCAACCAAGTTGTTATTTTTGTAAAAAGTGTAAGCAGAGCAGCTGAGCTGAACAAATTACTTGCTGATTGTAACTTCCCATCTATCTGCATTCACTCTGGAATGCCTCAGGAAGAAAGGTGTGCATTTCATCCCTTTAAAATACAATAAATGAGAAAAAGTGCCAATCTGTTCTTTGCATATAGTATTGATAATATATTCTGACAGTGGTTACCCTTCATTGTGCTTGCTTGTGTCCTACTATCCCAATGCTGTGAGAATTTCATCAACTTTTGTTTTCAATATTGTTTTATATTGGTTTATGTTTGCTTTATGGGAGTATTATGAGAGTGTTGCATTGATTTGGGTTGGTATCTTATGTTACATTTCGGGTGGGAGTGAGGTGTTTGTGTTTGCTTCCTGATTTCCCATTGTCTAATAAGCTGAGTGTACTACAATGTGAACCGTCAGAAATTGGCCTCCTAATAGATGCAGATTTGATTTGTTAGCTTGGAGCAGGTTTTAATGTGCAGTTTATAATTTATTGGGCCTGGGCTATTTTTTTCTGTTTTTGAAAATACTATGGGTTGTTGCAAATGCAATATGAGTTATAAATATAGATATGTTGATTATTTTTGAATCTATTTTTTCTTCAGTGATCTTATGTTTCTGTAGTATTTACAATAAACTAGTGGAAAATGGGGTTTTAGATATGGTTGAAGTTATTATAAGAGCGTGAGTTCTTGTAAGAGAGTAAGTTCATGTTAACATGCGTATATTAAATTTGATATCATATTCTAGTTCTTTAGAACTCCAACTGTAGTTTATTGTTAAAAAACACTCATTTAAGCCCCTCATTTGCTTTCTGTGACCTACAACTACCAAGAACGGATCAGTCAGGAACATTCTTTTCAAAGATATTGCAATGATCAACTCCCTTCAAATAACAGCCTTGTCCGGCGGACATCAATACTTAATCAATCTCCATCCAATTATGAACTCACCTGCCTATTAGGATCCATCTTTGTTTACAGCGATTATCTGCGAAATTTCTGCAAGATGCATTTGGCTCCCAAGGATGTTATCTGTCAATGAAAAGCACATGAATGAAAAAAATGGAACGGTTTAGAAAATACACTTGGAGCACCTCATATTTTTTGGCTTCTGAGAAGTATTATTTGTATTACCTAGGTTATCTAGCCCTCAAGTGACGCTTTGTTTCTTCTTTTCTTCTTGACTTGCAAGTTATTTAGCCTCTTATTTTACAATCTGTATGATCTTGCTTTTCTGCATTTTAATATCAGGAATGCATAATATCAACTGATTTGGCATGGTTTTCCATTTGCAGGTTGAAACGTTACAAGAATTTCAAGGAGGGGCTTTCAAGGATTCTTGTGGCAACAGATTTAGTAGGAAGGGGAATTGATATCGAGCGTGTTAACATTGTTATTAACTATGACATGCCAGATTCTGCCGATACCTACTTACACAGGGTATTTGTTTCATTCTTACATTTTATTTTAACAATTTTGTTACCTGTCTTTGTGCACAGGTGAAGGTCGTCTCCCTAATCTCTAGCTGACTCCGTTGTTTCTTGTTTCTGTGCTTGGTTTCCTTCCTTCATAGGTTGGCCGAGCTGGTAGGTTTGGTACCAAGGGACTGGCAATTACATTTGTCTCTTCTGCATCAGACTCCGATGTTCTTAATCAGGTAATATATATATATTTATATATATATATATTAATCCTTACACTGCATTAGACTTGCATTTACATTTCTTCTGCTTTTGCTATTCCCTTTTGTTTAATCCAAATTTCTTGTTTCAGGTCCAGTCAAGGTTTGAGGTGGACATAAAGGAGCTTCCGGAGCAAATTGATACTTCTACATACAGTAAGATACCTTTTTTTCAAAAAATGTTAATATTTGCAGTATGGTAGTTTTAGAAACTAAATTGGAGAAGCTGGTTAGATAAACACTAGTTAACGTGAAGAAGTACCATCTAATGATACCTGTTCATTCAATCAGTGGAGATGTATTTCTCTCATAATTAATTCTTCAATCATGAAGATGTCTTGTGGTTATCTTGCCTACTGCTAGAAGATGCATTTTATGTTTTACGGAACTGCGTTTCTTTTTCTGGTTTGGTGGTTGTGAGCGCTTTGGTGGTTAAGATTGCATAGGGGATTCTTTGCAACTCAGGATACAATACAAATACTTACAGATGTTTCTGATTTATGCAGTGCAAGTATGATAGTTTTTTTATGTGAACGACGAGCCTTGCGATTCAAAGGATGGTGGACTTTGGATCTGATCAGCCTCTAGTTTTTAGTTAATAGCATTTCTTTTGAATGTAGAATACTATCATGACAGAAGAGGATTAGGGTGCTTTTGATGATGTATTTTTATATCCCCATTTGAGTCCAACTTTAGATTTGATAGCGAGCAGAGAATTTGTAAGACTTAAGCCTTCAGCTGAATTTTGCTTATGATGGCAGTTTTAATGTCAGATTTCTTTTCTCCAAATTTTCCCTTTCTTAATCGCCTGTTTTTGTATTTTAGAGATTAAAAAGAATTGGGTATTGGTTCATGTTTTGCTATCTTGGCATCCCTATCGTATGATTGTATTGTTATTATTTTTTAAGGATTTTCCTATTGAGAGAGGTGATAATATATGAAATTCACACATACCACACAAATGTTAGGATTTGAACTCATGACTTTTCATGGAGGAGCAATTACTCCAAACTACGTACATAACATAGGCCTCAAAATTCAAATGAGTTTTGAGCAGCTAATCAATAATTTATTGCATATCAACAACTGCAAGCTACACTGAAGACGATTGCAGACTTACGTACGCGTGTGTATAGAGAAGATGAAGGCTTGGCTGGTCTAGGTCTCTCTTGTGATACTGTTGTTAGGGCCATACTATATAGGACTTCGAGGCTTAGGTATTCTCGAAGTTTGAGGATGTTTAGGTTTTCCAGGAGTCGTCTTCTTTTTAGAGCACCTTCACCCTAGTGGGCAAAGGCAAGGGCAAGGCAAGGTTTGTCACTATTTACATGAATAGTGGCAGCTCTTCCTTTTTGGGTTTCACCCCGAAGGGCAAAGACAATGGCAAACACTATTTACTTAAATTTATTTTCTCTTTTTTATACTTAAATAATTAATTTTTATAAGCTTTTAGGAGAATATTTTCGGTTTTCACGTCACTATTTATTATAAAATTCTCACATAAAATTTCAGAGAATATTTTCGGATAAAATTTTCGAATTCAATTTTCGGTTGTCACGTGTCCATCAAATTTTAGATGAGATTTTCGGATGAGATTTTCGGTTGCCATGTGTCTCATTTCAGATAAGATTTTCAGATATTTATTAAAAAAATTCTAATCTCAGATTTCAGATAAGATTTTCACCCTTTAAAATTGCGCCATGTGTCCCATGTTAGATAAGATTTTCGGATATTTATTAAAAAATTCTAATCTCAGATTTCAAATAAGATTTTCCCACATTTGTGCTTGTATAATCTATTAAAAATAAATAATTGTAAATGCAATAAAATATAAATAATTTGGAAATGCAAGGAAAAAGAAGAATATGCAAGAAAAAAAAATTGAATATGCAAGAAAAAAAAAAAGTTACATTAAATTGAATAAAACGTCATTTATAAATATTTTACCTCGTCGGCAAGATTTTGACCGCTTCGAATGTTGTCAATCGCTTTTGCCAATGCATCTCTCCATTTCCCTAACTCTTTATTCAAAATTTTCCACCTTGGAACCCGATCTTTCACAAAATTCTCCATTAATTTTTCTCCACATATGACAGAACTTCATCTCATTGCCCGTGATCGGGTAATGATCAACTTTCACCCAACACTCACACAATACAATATCTTCCTGAGTTGTCCACGCTCTTCTGGCTTCGATGGAAGAGGCCATTTGTTTTTTGATACAAATGGAAAGTAGTAGAAAAATGTGAGTGGAAAGTAAAAAATATTTGAAAGAGAAGAGTTTGTATGAAGATATGGTGTGGAAAGTGAATAAAATTGTTAGGTATTTATAAGGAAAAAATCCAGATTTTTTAAAAATTATTTTCGAATTTGTTTTTGCAATGTTTTAGCCAAAAAAATAACAGCCATTGGATTTCTGGAAAAAATTTCAATCGGAGCGTCTGGGAAGCACGACGTGGCTTCTTCCCGTTGGGGGCTGTCAGCAACGCAATTCAAATCATATAATTGATGGGCAACTTGTGGAATTAAATGATCGCTTCAACGAGGTAAAGTTACTTACTTGTTTAGCATGCTTGAGTCCGAAAAATGAATTTGTAGCTTGACAAATGAAAGCTAGTTCGTTTTGCTCAATTTTATCCTCAGATTTTTCGGATCGAGACTTATTGATGCTTGAAGATCAACTTGGTGTTTATGTTCATCGTATGCGTTCGAGTAATGATTTTTCTCAATTGGAAGGAACTAGTAGTCTTGCGGAAAAAATGGTGGAGAAAGGAATGCATGAAATATTTCATTATGTGTATTTGCTTCTTACATTGGCTTTGGTTTTACCGGTTGCAATCGCTTTAGTGGAGAGAGTATTTTTCGCCATGAATATTATTAAAAATCCACTTCGCAACAGAATAAGAGATCAATAGTTGAATGATAACTTGATTGTTTACATTGAGAGAGATGTTTTTGATTGTATTGATAACGAAACTATAATGCAACCTTTTTAAAAGATGAAAACTTGTCGTGGACGATTGTAACTTATATTATTGGTTTTGTCATGAATTATGAATGGAAGTACTATTTTTCTATTTTTTTAGTATTATTTTCTTCGTAGAAAATTTTTGGAACTTTTACATTGTGACCCTTTGGCCACAGAATCCTGGATCTGCCATTGCTGGCATGTGAGGAATTTGGGGACGATTAGGAATTTCTGGAGTATTAGGAGTAGTATTGGGAGTTTTAGGCTTTTTACGAATTATTACTTTTATTTTTGCTCTTGCAGCAAAAAGAAATCTTGGAAAGCTTAAAGAACCGCCATCTTGAAGGTTAGGCCAAAGGCGAGGAGGGTTTTTAGAAGGGGAGTGTAATGGAGGAAGAGATAAAGGAGACTCTTCTTCCTCACGAGCATGCACTACAGCCAGCCAGCATAAATAAAATTAATATTTTCATAATATTCATTTTCTAGTTAATTTTCTTAACATTCTGTAGCTCCTCTTCAACTCTGATACAACTCATGCATGGGTTGGGTTGCAACTTGTTTTTATATAAAGAAATTCCATTCATCTTTAAAATTTGAGACTTACCTGTTTTAGGGAAAGGTCCAAGAGACAGCCCCAAAAAAAAACAAAATTCAAGTCATGAAACTCGGCATGTAAGTTTTCTTCTGTTAATAGACTAATCCATAATAATATGAAAGGTTTCATAATTTTCAGTGTATATATATATATATATATAATACTCTTGTAAAGAATGAGTACTCTTGATATATAGATTTACTTGGATCCTCCAGGGTTTTCTCATACAAACTATACTGGAATTTAAATTCTAGCCATGTAAAACCAAAAAAAAATAAATTTACAATGGCTTGGATGGTGACGCTTCGATTGAATCTTCTTAGACCAAAACAAGTAAGAATTTCAGGGCTTGTTCGTTTATGTTTTTGGAGCACCATTTTTGTTTTATGTTTCCATTTTAACTAAATACGCGTTCAGCACCACTAAATTGAAAAGGGAAATGCTAGATCACATTTTATATAACACCTTGTGTACCACCAATAGAGGTCGGATCTATTGTATTGGTGGGCCCCACTTTTATTAGAGAGGTGGTACACTAGGTGGTATATAAATGTGGTATGCCTAGCATTTTCCAATTGAAAAACACATGATTGGTTTTTAGAAAATGAATTTGGTGACCATGAACAAATATTGAAAATGATAATTTATCGTTTTATGAGAAACGAAAACACGACCTTTTCCTTTTCTTCTTTTTTCTTTGGGCTTGTCCAATATAAATTCATACATTTTCTATTTCCTAGAGATATACCCGTCACTCTATAAATCTATGTGTAAAACTCAGTTTCATATTTAAATGACCAATAGGATATAAGAGGTCATAGTATTCCTATGTTTTTACATCGTTGCCACCAGACTTTATATTTTATTTATAATTTATTTCAAGCATTTCATTAACTGCCATAATTGTAATTAATACTCCCTATTAAGCTAGATTAGGTAACTTGCTTACTTGGATCCTAGTAATGGGTTTTATTTGAAAAAATTGGGTATTTCAAATAGAAAAATAAAGGAAAGGGTTGTAAGTTATTAAAAATAAATTTTATGGGTCTAAGCTCAATTTACTATATTTTTTTTATATATTGGATCATGAACTTTGTTATTGGATGTACAATATAGAAAAACACTTCAGTATATTACAGTTTTATCCCTTGATTTGGATTGTATAATGGGAAGCAAGCAGGCTTGCGCCTAGAAGTACCACAAGGTCCCCTGCAAAAAGTCTTTGACTCCATTATAACAGTTGTGGATAAGGGTTTGTTGAGAGGAGCAGTTAACAAGGTTGGAGACGAGGGCCAGGTTAGTGTAAGTTTTACAATAATTGCTAGTGTGAGAGCCAAGAAAAATTCAACACAAATGAATAAACTCTTAATCCATTTTAATGTCTCAAATTCATTGTTTGTACGGACATATTTAATGTTTGATTACCCCTACCCAAATCATTTCTATAAAAATGAAAATTAAAAATGCAACATCAACATCCTCCTCCACCCACCCCCCTGCCTCCCGCCCAAACCCCGCCACCTCCAACATCACTAGTTATGGTGGCTACAACAGCTGGAGGACCCCAAACAACACCGGCTCCTGCCAAAATATCCGTCCAACTTGTGAGAAAGTGAAGATAAAAATGTCTCACATTGGAAAGTTAGAATACCTTGCAAGGGCTTATAAGGAGTTGGACTACTCCTCCCTTTGCCAATTAATTATGGAGTGGAACCTCAACTTCCTTCACCAACTTCACCTCTTTCAAGTTGTTATGGAACCTTTTCTTTTCATAATGGGTTGACTAATTTTTTGGCACATAATAAGTTGACTTTTTGGTGCTTAGCAATTTCTTGAATTAAAATCTCATAAACATATTCCAGGGGAGGAGAATTGTGGTATAAAGCCAACGTGGGGTTCAGATTTAGAGATAGCTTATAGATCAATTTTCATAAGAACATTTTAACCTCGCACTAGTCTGCCGTAAGAACATTTTAATTAGGAGTTGAAATCACTTTGGCAGTTTATTTTTATTGAATGGTTTTCTATTCAAATTAGGGACTCCTTTATTTGGTTATATTTGATTCCTAATCCAAATTGTCCTTATTTTTTGCCATTATTTTCAAATATTTTAGAAGAAATCCTGGGTTATAATATAAACTTGAGTTTTGTGACTAAACTCTAAACAATTTGAGCGAATTCCCATTGAATAAAACAAACCAAGTTGCATGGCAGACAAATAATTCATATGCTTGAAACTAAAGTCAAACAAGGTTTATTCAAATTTCAAAAACTTCAACTTTAAAACTAAGTACTAATTATACGATGGAGGAATTAGACCCATAACTACAACAAACAAGCCTATTAAGTATAAAAATCCCTATTCGCCTCCACATCCACCTCCGCCACAACCTCCACCTTGACTACCACCACCGCCACAGTTGCTCCCACCACCATGAGGAACATCACCACTAGCTGCTGTGGCTGCCGTGGCCAAAACAGCACCAACTCCTGCCATAATAACCATCCCACCGTCCTTAATCGCTCGTTTGCTTTGCTTTTTCTTTCTCTTGTGTTTGTCCCAAAGGCTGCACACATAAGTGACACTAGCAATTATAAAGCCGCACACGATGACCAACTTCCAAGCATATTCTACTTTCATTTCTCTTCAAAATTTTACCAGCGTGATGATAAATTAATTATTATATAAACTTGAGGAAGAATGCATGAAATTTCTTTTATAAGAGTAAATTGGCTTTTTGGTGCATTGAAAAGGAATTTGTAACCAGGGGCGGCCCTGCCATGGTGCAAGTGGCGCCACCGCACATGATCCTCGATTTTTTTTTACTTTATATTTTATATAATATTATAAAAATTGTATATATACTACATCATGCATCACATTGACACAAGAGTGTATTTGATGAAGCTGGTTTCTAGAGCATATCCCTTAGTACAAGGCTTACGTTTGAGTCTAAAAGCTTTCTTCCACTCAAAACAAAACCACAAAAAAAAAAAAAAAATTCATGTCTTCTTCTTTCTCTTAAACTTTTTTTTTATTTTTAAAAAACCGAACATACTAATATTTAACTTTATCAAATAAAAACATTAAAAAATTTATGAATTTGATTTGTGATTGTTATTATATGCTAATTAATGATGAATTTTAATTATAAAAAAATTGGTTTATGACATTAAGTCATATAATTTTATTTTTTTTAGTATTTTCATATTAGATTATATGAGGGCTTTAGTTTAAATTTTACATAAGGCCCTCAAAATCTCAGGACCGGCCTTGTTTGTAACATATTGAACCTTAATGCACCAAAAAGCCTTAAACTACACATTCAGATACCAAAGAGTTGATTCTTCCTTTTAAAAAATTGGGAATGTTGTATTCCCTCTTGCAATGGTTTAATGTGAAATACTTTATTTTTATTTACACTTCATTTTACAGATATATATTCCGAACAACTTATTCTAAGGGGGGTGTATTCAATTAAGATTTTAAAAGAGTTAAATGGAGTTATAAAGTTTATAGATTTCAATGTAGTTCAATTGATTTCTATCAACTCCACATAGAGTTTGATTGAATTCCTAGATTGATTTTGATAGTGTTTGTTAGAGTTTTATCGTAGATTTTAAAAGAGTTGATTAGAGTTCTAAAATATTTTTTTTCTTTTTTTTCTTTTTTTTGGGCTGTTAATTGTTTTTCCAGATTTTCAAAAGAAAAAATTACCTTTACAAAAACATTTTGTAAAGAACTTCCAAATCAATACATCCAAAGAAAATTAAAAAAAGGGCATCTAATTTTGTTCAAATGTGCAGTAATTTCATGACAAAAAAACTGATAAGTAAACTATAATTCTAACTGCATAAAAACGAATAAGTATCTGTTTCATTGCTTATCTTTGACTCCCGTCATTCATAGCATCTCTCCACATATCTGAAGATATCCCAACCCTACATTGGTTAGCATTCTCGCGTTGTTGTTCTTGGGTTTGAAAAACTTGGTCATAATTATTTCCCTCAGTTTCTGGTGATGATGACGACGCTGAATGCTCGTTGTTTTCTTCAATAGGAAATTCATCAGAACGACACTCCTTGCGGAGAAAATTGTGCAACCCTGCACAAGCTAAGACCAACTCTGCTTGTGTCTCATATGGAAATGGAGGGGCAGACTTAAAAATTGTGAATCGTGATTTAAATATACCGAATATTCTCTCTATTACGTTTCTTAAGGAAGCATGTCTAAGATTGAACAACTCGGCTGCATTTTCAGGATCACGACCTTGACCGGCAAAATCCTGAAGATGATATC